TCACAAAATTAAGGAAGATATATCGAGAAGAAAGGATTCGAGGCGGAGGACTCGTGACCGGGATCAGAACTATCATGGAGTGATCTCATTTGGTCCCACGTGTAAATAGATTCCATTTTTTTTTAACGCAATAGCATAAATAATATAATAGTATAAATAAAATAGCAAGAACTCGTTTTTCGATCTATTCTCGACAACATCACATTTTTAGAACATTTCTTTTCTCAATACAATCGGCAAATAATCATAAATTTTGATATTAATTTTTGAAATTTATATATTTAAAAGCAAAAAAGGGAGAAATTTGACAAAAAATTATTTATGATTGATAATTAAATAATGTACTGTATCCAAATTTACAAAAGAGGATTTCGCGCGTTTCCCATTCAGTTTCAATCTCAAAATTCAATATTTCGTAATACTTTCTATTTCAGATACCGTAGAACTGAGCCCGCTCACGAAAACGACGATAAAGTCGCGAGAATAGAAGAAACCGAGAGGAATAGTATTGGAGTATATCTGTAAGTACATTCAGCCCCGAGACGGGAAAGACGTCGTTTCACGTCGTATATATGTATATGTGGGAAGATTTGTAATAAATAGATCTCTCGGATATCCTTTTCGATTGTCGATCGCGATCGAGCGGTAGTCTCGCTTGAGCGGCGCCGAAACGCGCGTCTTTTTTATCCGAACAGGGATGGAAGGTCGTTTCTTTTGTTAGTCGCACTCGCGAAAAGCACTTACAAGTGTTAGTTCGCGAGGATTTATCTCAATAGAGGTAGATTGTCCCTGATGACGTCATCGTCATCCTCGACGACCCAGGTCGGATCGTCATTAGTTATATCGCGCGAACAGACACATTCACATCCAATGCCAAACAGGCAAGCAAACGAGTGACAGATGATTATTACTGACTATCAAATTGGCGAACATTGAAGAAAAAGTGACACAATTCCAGAAAAAAGAAATAAATTTAACAATTGAACAAACTCATTTCTCGCATACTTTTTGTAAAATTGCAACACTGACAATGAGAGAGAGAGAAAAAAAAAAGATGTAAATTTATAAAAAATATTTTATCCTTAATAATTTTACGTAATAATAATTTTGAATGTCTATTATTAAAATTATTGCAATATAATATAGCTGTCTTATTTCTTTACAAAAAAAAGACGGAAAATATAGCTTACTTTCATTTATAGCTCGTTTCTCTCATTCTTCAGAATTTTGTCATGTAAAAAGTGCACATGAAGAGTTAATTAGCTTTAACTTTTACTTATTTTTTTATCACCAATTATTGGTCAGTAGATAAATAAATAAATAAGTATATATATAAGTAAATAGATAAATATATAAAGTAAACAATTGTACGAGAGATTAATTGATAAGCGGACAAGCATTTAAGCGTTGTCTACATTTGTCAAGTATACGGATAAAATACTATTTTCATGTACGAATATTGGCATACAATCGTCATTCTTCGGAAATAATCGATTTAATCGTTTAATAATTAATATCAGATTTCGCATTATATATATATATATATATATATATACGCGGGCTGCAACGGTTTATCGTTCAAAAAAATGTTGGCGAAGACCGCGGCGCGTTGATATAGGCGACACGACGTGGGAGAGTGGGACACGCGTTTCATGTACCGTGAAATATAGTGAAAGCGGCGAGCGACGTCTGGGACGATCGCGTGTGACGATCATTAGTTAGCGATCGCATCAGCACGAGAGAGAAGCTGGGCTGCTGGGCAGCACATCGTATTTCTGCGACGATATCCGCGTTGTGTTTGCGTCTCGCTGCGACAGTAGGACCGTCGTCGTTGAGAAACTGCCGCATTCCGTGATCAGGTGATGTACGGCGTCCTCGTACAACGTCGTTTTACGTGACAATAATTCGCCCGTCCTCGAGACGGCGAACGCGATCAGCTGTTGTGATTGTTTCGTGTACGTCTAATATCTAATAATCCGAGGATGCTCGTCTCGCGGGATATAATTCCGTGACAAATATAATAACGTCAATTTCGCGATACGGATACGCGAAAAGTGAAAATTCGACATAACCGGAGTTAAAAATGTTTGTCAAACGTGATTTTTTTTTTTTAAAGCTTAACGCGCACCTAGAATTATGTGCATGAGATAAGGTTGAATGTCGAAGATTATGACGGACAGCGTAAAGATCTATCGATGTTTGTGCAACTCTGGGGTGCACCGTCTCGTTCGTCATGTACACATGATTATCCGAGTTCATGCGTTCTGTTATCGTCCGCGGTGAGCAAACGACGACGAGCGCGGAAGGGAGCTCTCCGCCGCGAGGAGATCGGCGAACGCAATCCTCGTCGTTTGTAACCGGCACCGATCTACAGGGGATGCCTAGCCTACACTCGCTCGTCGTAAGACGAGCTCCGCTAACTGATATGGGTACCGCGACAAGTTCGGTGACTTCCGTCAATCCGCCCACCAAGATCGCGGTTAATTCCAAGAAGATCGACAAGGCTAAATTTAGCGGCATCAAGCTACCTCTGATACGCAAGGAAGCCAGCGTGGTGAATCTCTCCTTGACAGAGAGAAATGCGCTTGGTAAAGAGGTAGACGCGCCCCTCCTGCGACCTGAAAGCAGCGCAAGCCTGGAAGCACGAGGTGGCAGCTGGATGAGCCTGGGTCCTGGCGCCCTGAGAAAATGCGAAACCGCTGTGGGATTAAGTACCTCAGCTCTGGAAGGAAGACCGATAAATCGTAGTAGAGTATGCTCTCGCTGTTCCAGTTTGTTATCCCTGGCATCTAGCTCACGTTACAGCTTGGCTGCTGGTAATTTCGTTCCTGCAGGTTCGCAACAAACAATTGGACGAATATTTTGTAAATTATGTCTTGTCGATATCTCTCTCTCCAAAACATTTAAGATTGAGGGATGCGGTTGTTCCTATTGTAAAGATGTAAGTCAAAATTTCTATAAGGAATTATTTTTTGACAAAACATAGAAAATCTTAATTTCAAAAAATTCTTGACAAACATCCCGTAATAACACTCTCTTGAAAATTAATGAATTACTTAAGATTAATAAAAATATGTGCGATGTCAGTGACATCGAATATCAATCTGAAAGTTTACGTATTAATTGAGTAACGTTAATTATTTTAAAAAATATTCGAAAGCATCGTTTCGCAAGATTGTGCAGCGCAATGACATATCGTTAGATATTCATTTCTTTTTTCCATAGGGGTTGCGTCGCAGCCCATATCACCGTCGTTCAACAAACTCCAGAATGCTATCCTAAGGGGGGAAAATAGTACTTTCACCCGGTACACTGGTCGAATACGGGAAAAAAGCGATAGAAAAAGCGGGACCCCTGTATATATCATACTCGACAGTGTATAACCCATGCACGAAGAACGTGCCATTCGCAAACCATTCGCGATACTTCGCGGAGCAGAATCTCCCCGTCTCTTCGCAACCGTCCCTCCTCTTCCTTGCCTTCCATCCCACCCCAACGATACGACGCGCGTGTTAAGTACACGGTAGCCTTCGGTTTTATTTATATAAGCAGCAGCCCGCGATTTGCGAATGTTGCGCCCTTATTCGTGTGTATGCGGGCGTATCTTAAATTGGCGCGCTGCGATTTCTTTGAGATCAGATCAGATCCGCCGTCCCCGTTGAGCGAGTGGTAAGAAGTTTCCGGCAGAGGGGCAGAGGAAAAAGAGAGAGAGGGATCGAAGAGAAAAAAAGGTACTTGAGGGTATGACCGATACGAGCAAAATACGCGGTAAGTACATCTTTGGGAAAAAGTGACGAAAATAGAGACGGATGATAATTGATCCTAAAAGAAGAAAAGGAACAGAGATAAAACGCATAAACGCATGTTACTCTCCCTCGCCTCACGGATCGAGCGAGACGAGATTGCAGGATCTCGAGCGAGATCCCGCGGTGCATATGAAACCGCAGGAGGAATATATATACAAGTTCCTCTACATGGTAGAGGAAAAAAAGTGACAAAGGGAAAGATATTGGAATAAGAGACATCAAATCGAAGGACAGACAGACAGATATGTAATGAGGAGAGAGAAAGTTAAATGATAAAACTTTGGATAAATCAAAGATGATAAAACTGATAGGAAAAAAAAAAAGAAAAGAAAAAGGGATGGAAGGGAATGGAATGATATGCAGAGAAGAAAGAAAAGTCTTTAAATGCTGGTCTCGTGCACGAGTTTGGTCAGCTCCGGTAGAACCAAATTGTTGGAGCTCAGAAGCAGGGAATTTCCGGTGTTGTCTCTATTACTGCTCATCTGCACCATATGATTGGGGCTCAGGGGCTGATTGAGGGCGTTACTAGTGGGGGATCTGTTATCGGTGATGGTAGTATTGGTAGTGGTGTAATGATGATTGTACGCGTTGGCCGGCCCGGTCACACTCAGCAACAACGGCGAGGCGGAGCTGTTGAGGGACTGTTGCATCCTGGAGGATCCTCTGTAGTTTGTCTCGTAATCCTGATTCATCATCGGCTCGGCACTTCTATTAGAGGACTTGTAGGCGGCGTTCTGCGCGTTGGTGGTGGTGTTTGTCGAGTCTTCGTCAATGTATGTGAAGTCAGAGAGTGGTCGGGGCCCGGTGTGGCTGCGTGAACTGCGCATACTGTGTAAGCTGTGTAAACTATGGACAGAGCGACGCTCCTCCAGATCTTCCAGAGTCGACTTGAACGCTCTGATTACTCGAAGCTGCAAAAACAGGGAAGGACGTTCTATCAGGAAGCGAGGAGGCAAGCCAGCAACATACAAGCACGCCGTATATTCGTTTTTTTTTCTTTTTCGCGCAGAAGTGTGTTATAATATGGTGTGTTCCCCTTTTCTTTATTCAGTGTCCCCCGAGTGTCGACGTTCTGGTCTTGTCGTTGTTCTTGTAGCTGTTGTGTTTTTATGGATATATAGATTGCGTTTTTTGCTTAATTTATATATGTAAATTTTTTTATATTTACTTCTTTAATCGCAAATATTTCTTTTCTTTTTGTACGTCTGTGACGTGAGTATCTTCGCTTGTCGACTTGGTTGCATTTCACCCGAATTCGTGAGCTAAATAGAACCGGATCGATTTAATGTACGGGGGGATATATATAAGACACTTTGTGATTTCTTTCGATTTCCTCCAACGATCTCGCTGTATCACCGGCTATCGTGTAATGCAAGCTAGAAATACAGACTCGATTACCGGTATCACATGCGCACAATCTCTACTTCACTTTTATGCGTACCTACCTACACGGCTTCGTTTGGGGTTCGTGATGGAGTGATCATCGGATCGGGGACCAACACGATTGAATGTGGACGATGCGCGGATGTCCTCGCAGACAAGACAGCCTCCCTTCGTTCATTCTCGGATAAAGATGTTAAGGACGCTAATAACGAGCGTCATCTCTTCCTATCTAAGATTGGCTTGAGAGGGAAATCGCAAACGAGGAGTAGATCATAGCAACTATCTAGATACTTAGTAATGGCGAATGGGATTTATTAATCCGATATTCGATTTTAACAATATCGGTCAATATCAGTTAAATTTTTAATAAATTACTTCAACCAGATTTAAAGTCAATTCATGTCGATAAAGTCAATTCATATCATTCCCTTAAAGGAAACGAAAAAATGCTAATAGTTTTTTAATAACATAATTTTTATAATAAAATTAATAAATCGACAAAAAGAACTTTTTACAGAACATGCTGGATCAACTACCCCTCGTTAGTGATTGCTCTGCAATCTATTTTCAACGCCAAAGAAAAACGAGCAGGGATTCGCGACTGCGGGAATGCCAATCGCGGGGGTTCAAACGGAATACGCAATAGTTACCCAATTAGGAATGGTCCGCAACAGTCCTGAACCGTTCGCGAGCGAGTCTGCCGAAGCATTCGCACGCTTGTAACCGCTCCTCTACGGCTTGGAGAGTATAATAAGGGGTAAGACAGAAGTTCAGAAACAGAGACAGATATAGTGTGATTGGTAATGTTGGTGTAGTACAAGTAATAGTAAAGCAAAGGAGCACTAAAACGGAAATACGGTACGATACACGTTCGTGACACAGAAAGACAGGGTGGATCACAGTTGCTTCTCCTAAGTACAATATAATCCTCCTATAGTATTAGTTTCACGCATGTAGTTAGTTTTGGCACACAACGTGTTTTGGTTTCTCAACACTTAACGTTCCTCTACTGTAAATACGTAACAGGTCTTATACGCTGTGATCAGACATGTTCTGTTGCTAGATATATGTAGAAACGATTCAGAATAGATTTTAAAACAGTCTCTCGTCGTTTTCGCGATAGAGAGTTCGCGTTTAATATAATACTCTCGAATGCTCTCAAAGAGAAATTGCAGTCAAGGCCAAATCAGAAAGAAATACTTGAGAAACCGAAGATTCCATTTGGAGAGATAACAAAATCGAAATAAGGAGTGCAAATCATTTCAGAGAAATAATTTCAGGATAAATTTTGAATCGAATCGGAGGTTTCGATCTGGCTCTGACTTTTCCGATATCGAAGAGATGCGTAAAAGGTTTTCTTTATCAATGGTCGCGATAGTAATAACGAAAAATGCATGCCAACACTCGCGTGACATTTGCTCGATCGACGAGATACGTTTATTGTTTTTTTTTTCTTTCCACAACACAAATCACATGGTATAACGTGTTAGATCCTCTAATTGGCACTCGATACGAAACAACGGCGGTGTTAGACCTCGGGCAAACAGAAAATAAGGGCGATGCATAAATTGGCCAACCGTGCACACACACACGCACGCACACACACGCACTAACAAAGATGGGAATAGAGGAGCTCAAATCGGGTACGACGATGGTTGTTCCCTTTCGTGGTTAAACAGAAATAATTCTAATTAAATACTATCTCCTATATTTTTCCAAAATATTATCTATTTACTTCAATACAGTTGTTTAACATAGCCACGAAAGGATCGTCCCCTGTCGGTGTCCGCTCGCCGACTCTGTCGTTCGAGAGAGGCTCCGGACGACCGACTGCGAGATGTTGAGTATTATTGAATCGAGAGCGACCGAGTGAGAATTAAGCAGACATATTAGAAGACTCAAAGGTAAGAAATTGCGATAAGATCCTTGAATTCATTCGTCGATTATTTTAGAAAAAGTTTTGCACGTGATAAATAAAAATTCCGAGTAAACGAATAATGAATGAATAAATAAATAAACGCGCACAAAGAGTAGATTATAATCTACTCTTTGTGCGCGTTTAGCGGCTATAGCTGATCTCATCAATGGATGCGAATTCAATTGAAGCTTCCACGAAACGAGATTTCTTCTCAAAGAGACCCGTTCACACGATTCGGTCTTTGATAATCCGTCTATTCTCGGATCTATAGCAACGCATTTAGGATTAAGGATACCGCCGATACGTAAGAGAAAGAAGGAAGTGCGCACGATGCAGCAATGCTACTTCATTCAAGTTTGCAACCCTTCCTCCTACATCATCATAATAAAGCAACACCATCGAGATCTATGACTGACACGTTACCTCAATCCTCGAGGGTTCCTACAAACCTCGATCTCTGACCTAAAAGGAAGTCAAAATCGACGCGCAAGCCATCCCTAGCACGAAGGAAAAGGATATAGTTTGATCGATGCTGGTAGTGGCGGAGAAAGCGTTTTTTCGGAGGATTTTAATTGGTTTTGAGGTGAAAAACCAAACTTCTTAGTGTCGTATACTCGCGCTGATGAAAGTCAGCGACCTCTATCGTTATAAAAAGAAAAAAAAAAAAAAAAGAAAAATGCACGTCGGTTAGAAGGAAAAAGTGTACGCGAACGACACTTTAAAAAAGTTCCGCAAAAAACCGACACAAACAAATTGCGTCGAGGTTTACACACGAAGGAAGGGGGTGGGGGAGCCAACGATGATGGATACGCAAAAACACACAGCACACCCAGACACTATACTACTGAGAAACAGAAAGCGCGGGTGGGCCGGTGGATCTGCCGGGCAATATCGCGGTCCCCGATAAACGGGGGAGGGTCCACCGGCCGCAACCCACACCCCCCCGCTACACAAAGAAAACACATTAGTGTGACACTTCGTTCAATGTAATCATATCCGTGCATATCTCGAATCGTCGCCGCCGTGACATCGCACCGAGACACTCCTCGGGAAAACGAGAGAGCGTCCACATATCGTCGTCACGACGATACTCGTCGTCGTCGTCGTCATTGTAATCATTTAATCATTATCAAAATCCTCGTTAAGTAAGAGAGTCTCCATCTTTACAAGGATCGATTCAAGAGCGATCCAAGGTAGAGATCGTAAAAGAGTTAGAGTCTCGAAAGGTTCAACTTTTGATGTCACAAACGCGCAGAGAAAATACCTCTTTACGTCGTTAGGTTAGGTCAAAAAAAAAAGAAAATTAAAATACTTTATATTATAAATATATATAATATTAAAATATTTTTCATTGTATATGTTCGTGTGTGTATGTGTGATAGACGTAGAGATCATATTTCTGCGCGTTTATGGCATAAGAATCTGAACTCGACGAAATCATGGTAAAATTCAGATAGAGGGAGAAATAGAGAGAGAGAGAGATAGAGAGAAAGAGAGAGAGAGAAAGAGAGACCAAGAGACGGCGAGACATTCCATCGTGCACGCGCACGTGTTACGCACGTCGACGATCCGTCGTGAATGACGATATATAGTAAGGTACAATATATATAATATATGCGGTACAACACGCGTACTGGCGGGTTCTGATGTTTGTAACAACGTATTATATATGTACGGCAGGCGATCATCTACATGAGCTACGTACTTGTTTGTACTCCGACAGGATAAGTGTGGCGGCGGGCAAAAGAATCTGCCGCCCCCTTATACCTCAGTCTCTCGAATGGGTTCCGCTGGCTAACAAACCACAAATTATAACCATCAGTCTCGTTTCTCGCTTTTTTCACTTTCGCTAATCATACACTACGTTTCATTTAGCACACCCGGACTCTTTCTGCCGCGCGGATTGCATAGGCGTTCGCTAATGATTCCCCTCCGCGCGTTTTCTCCATTTTCGTCTCTAGTGTGTGTGTCTAGGTATCTTTTCTTATTTCCCCCCCACCCCTCGTGTCGACGGATGAATTGACACGTGGCGCGCAAATCTCTCTCGTTTTTTTTCACGTTTCTTTTTTTTTCTCACTGCTTTTCACGCCACAAATCTCCTCGTGCAAAAAGCAGAGGCGATTTCTCTCTCGAACAAGAAAAAAAGAAAGAGAGAGAAAAATTTTGCGAGAGATCGAAAGAGGAGCACGACTGAAGTCGTGGAACACGAAGAGGTGCACGTCGTTATCACGATTCGAGTGTCGCATTGTACAAGCAATTTAAACGTTACGTGGAATTAACGACTGTTTTAGATCGCTAAAAAGGCCGTCATTGATCAGACACTATTTCCGATAAATTGACAAAGGATAAAATCTATGTCCAATAGTTTCTGATTTTTTTAAATATTCAAGATTATAATTGTTCTTCCCTTTTATTCTTCTATCAAATAGTCTAGTATTACAAATAAGGATGTTAAGGCAAAATTGACTGCTGACTAAATAAAAGTTAATAAAAGATAAGTTAAATTCATCAGACTTGCGGTCATTTTGACAGTTGTCGAGCGATATTCTAATCAAGAAGAGGCACCAAGATCCGTGTTGGCCATTGACTCCAGTCGTTCAAATAATCGAAAAGAGAGAGAGAGAAAAAGAGAGAGAGAGAGAGAGAGAGATAATCAATCGGAATCAAGCGCCGCTTTAAATTCTGAAGAACAGATAATGGGTGTCGTCGATAAAATTGATTGACGCGTTTGATGGCAATTCGAATAGCGAGAAAAAAAGTTCGACGTATAAGTTTAAAAAAGGATGTATAGGAGAGAAAACTGTGTGAGACTCGACGATCGAAAATGCGAAAATTCGAAACACGTAACTGCGAGACAAATGCGTATACAAAAAAAAAAAAAAAAAAAAAAAAAAAAGCCGTCGCGTTTTTCGGTGTTTTCCGAGCGTTATCGCTCACGTCGATATAGAACGCACAATGCAATATATATGAATATACATATAGGTATACATACACATTGTTGTACGTTGAAACGCACAATAATAAACATGGCACACGCGCGCACACATCGATATACAACGTACGGTAATAACATCGTACATCACGTGTTAATCATCACAGCAATGCTCACACTGCAATAATTAAAAACGGAAAGAAAATGTGAGACGGGAAAAGCGAATATACCCGTCGCGTGTATAGTTAGGTGGAGAAAAGCCGGCCGACCGGGCGAGTCGTACGCCGGAAATAAAGAAAAAGAAAGACAAAGATGATGCTCACACACACACACACACACACACACACACACGCACGCACAAGAAAGCGAAACATAGATCCAGAAAAAAAATATAAAGACTTGTCGAATGTTTAACAGAGGCTAATGTGTTTAGTAAGCCGTTCCTTGGAACGTTAATTAACGTTAACTGGGGTTCAACTGATCCTCCGCGTCTCCTTCCGAAGACGCAGAACCGGAGAGAACCAGAAGTAAGAACCAGCGAAATACCTACGACTATGGGATTGGACTCGACTAAGGAATCACCGAAACCTCAGTCAATTTTAACTAACATTTCCGGGAACAGCGCTGCATCGAGAAACGAATAGCACACACCGCAGTTAGCGCCGTACACATCTCTGATCACGTCACTCCGAAAGCTGCGCGGCTCGTCCTCGACCTCTCTGTTCGGTCAATTGACGAGCGTCTTCGAGAAACGCACACATACACGTACATGCAACACTTTAGAGAGGAAAGTGTGTAGAAAAGACAAAAAGAAAAAGAAAAAGGAAAAAAAGAAGAGAAAAAAGAAAAGAAAGAGAGAAGAGAAAAAATAAATAAAATAGAAAAGACACGCAAAAACAAAAAGTGACACGATGGAGAGAGAGAGAGAGAGAGACAATCGAGAGAAAAGCGTATGACGGCAGCCAAAACGGTCGTAATCGTAATAACGTCCATCGAACGCCATCAAAGCCATGTGTCTCTCGCGGGCTGCGACAACAACGATAGCGTGTGGTCCAATCCACACCGCGTATGGGGTGGTTGGTTGGTTGTTTCGTTGTCACGCGTGAACGGGAGCGTGTAGTATTTACCGAACATGCGCCCCATTATATTAAGCGGTTCTCGTTTCACAGAGACACAGAGGACGAATTGTAACACCGGGAGAAGCAAGATATACACGATCGGATACGCGCGATCGTATCCCGCGACACAGAAAGACAGGTGTAATAGTGATACAAGAAAAAAGAGAAAAAAAAAACAACAGGAGCGTTATTGTTAGCTGCCGCAATGGCGTAATGGCAATGCAAATTGCTCGACGCCACAATATATATATATATATATACACAGATTAATAATATATATATGTATATACTGGCTGCTGATTTTCGCTTTTTTTTTTTTTAATTTGTGGAGAATAATTTAAAATCAACCACAAAGATGGGTGTGTCGCATATATATATAGTAATAATATATAAATATATATATATATAATAAGCACACGGGCGAAAAATATTAATCGAGACTCGCAGTCCGCAAGCACTTACTTGTTAAACAAAATGCAGACATTGTGAGACGTGTGTAGAAAGACAGATAAGTAATAGTAGTAGTAGTAGCAGTAAGTAGTAGTGGAGTAGTAGAAGAAAGAGATAGAAAGAGAGACAGAGACAGAGAGAGAGGGAGAGATAGAAAACACAAAAGGCAAACTGAAAAAGTTTGCTTGTAGGAAATCATAATACATAGTATACATATTGATCAAAGTGCGAAGTGTCGCAAACAAAAAAAATCAGAATATATATCAGAGGAAAAAAATTGATAAAAATATATAGACGTATAGATAAATATAGAGAGAAACGGTTAATCAGATTATTATTTATAACACGGTCAAACAATGATCAAACTTGCGGATGATAGTGGACTTGCGGACTAACCATGTAGTAATCCTGAGAAGGGGATCTGCCTGTCACAGATACATTCTGCACCAGAGTTCTATTGCTCGTCTGAAAGTAGGTGACACATCCAGTTTTACATCATTAGCTTCACGTGACATTCCATGGTATTGTATTTTCTTTTTGTCATCTTATCACTTTTTTTCTGTCTTTTATCTTAATTGTCTGTTCGATTTTCTGTTTTGTTTTTTTGTTTTTTTTTTTCTTTGTTTGTTTTATATTGTCTTACTAAGCCATTAACGTGTGCTTCTCGTGATATTGAATACTTATCGACCGTTGACTGTGCGAAACAGACGAAGTTACAGAGAAAATAAGAGGAAGAGAATATATAAAGACAACAATAGACAGTATGAAGTGTAGCTATATATATATATATATATAATAGAAAAATTGGTAGAGAGACAGACAAAGAGAAAGAGAGAGAGAGAGAGAGAAAGGAAATAATACGTGTCGTCGCGAGTTCTCTCTAGCTGGACTAGAATTTTTAGTTTTTACTCAACGTTGTGTGCAAATCGTGCATCCGTTTTTTTATCACATCGGCTGTAACAGCTGCAACGGACCAGCGATGTCGTTATCTTTGTCGCGCTACAGCCCGAGCCGCCAAAGTGATAGACAGACAGATAGATAAATAGATAGATAGATAGACAGATAGATAGACAGACAAATAAATAAATATTTGACATTACTACAAAATTACTACTTCACTGCGCAATCATCGTACAGAGTGATATCAAATGTTTTAAGGATTCTTCGACGAGAAACTGACCACAATCATTAACCCTGGAATATACTAATCATCATACAGATGAGACTGATCGCCGATTGACATCGTCGTTTCGTGATTTTATCGTCGCAATTGATATATTTTTTTTTTTAATTGCGCAAAAAAATAAATGCATATAATTTATATAATACCTATATTATAGTGATTTATATAACCTGATATTATCAACAGATATATAATGCCATATATAATCCACATGTACAAACGTCGTTCTCTCGGCAACGTCTACTTTAACTTAGACAGTAGAGTCTTCCGCTTCAACGTAAAATCGATAGGAACGACAGCAGCTAAGGCCGCTAAGGACAATAGCGAGCAGATGAATCTTTTATTCGGTCTTGAAACGCGTAACAATCAAAGTTCGTTTTACCGGCTAATTACATGTTCCGTATAAGAGGCGGATTTAGATATTGTATAACGCTATATGCATAAGGAAGACTACCTTACTTTAGTCGCGAGTTTCCGCGCGGCGTTATGCATTACGCAAGGGACCGGGCTCGTTTAACGTAGTGGAGTGAGAAAAGTTATATAGAGCGGTATAAAGACATATCTCCGCGAGGAAGAAAGTTTGGCGAAGAAAGTTACTACGAAGTGCTATTGCTTACGTAGATCGATTTAACATCCTGCTTTTCACGTCACTTGCGGCGGATATTCAGAAACGGGGTAAACGGACAGGGGGTATACCTCACACGACAACAGTTTGAAAGGGTAAATCCCTGCGGGAGAGAATATTCGAGTTTGTCGATCGGCGAAACATATATGACATCGATCACTGGACTCGGACAAGAATGGTGTGTGCACACTTTGGGGTTTCGAAAAACCTCGAGTAGGTGGATGAAAGACGTCTGACATGTAATTTCACGAGGACTAGAGATGTATAGACAGCGTAAAGTAAGGGTGAGACACGGTGTGGAGGGAACAAAAATCGAGTATGAGTGATTGAGGGGGGGAGGGGCGAGGGGGGAGAGAAACATAAACAGAAAGAAAGTGAGAGAGAGAGAGAGTGAGAAAGAAAGATATATTAGGGCTGAAGACTGCGTGGACCATTGCTAAGTTGGTTCTGGCTGTCTGTGGAGATCTACTGTGGATGCAAGCTGTACGGGAGAGAGATGAACGTATAAATATATAAATATATAAATATATATATACGCAATGTAATATACGTGCTCAGGTCTCGAAAGCTCGTCGACGTAGAAAGTATACATAATATCAGGAGACTCGACTCAAACCGGTGATGCTGATGGTTCTCCCTACATATTGGTCACGACACTCGCGATCTTCTTTTAAAAAAGGGGACGAGGGAGAGACGGTAAAAGACGCATTTGAGAAAGTTGGGACAAAACGGACGTTTCGCTATCCAATTTGCATGAAAAAGATTAATCACGAAATAGATAATCGATTTTGGAATCTGCGTTATTTACTAAGTTTTTCACATCTTGTTTTTTTATCTGTCTGTACACTTATACAGAGTAGTACGACAACATGAAATAAGAATACAGGGGAATACGTCTCTTAGATTAGAAAAGACACGAGAGAGAGAGAGAGAGAGAGAAGAAATGTCTAGAATAAAATTTTTAATATTTTAAATCCAGGAAAAATATTTTTCGTATCTTCAAGTCTAAGAGAGATATTCGAATGTTTCATGTTTCGTGACTGGATCATTCCGTATGTATTTATTCGATCACAGCTGATCCTTTGTGCTAACTATATGACAAAAAAATTTTCATCCGATCCCAACTATCCCTTGTCTCTCCCACATCTCCGGTACTCGCGTAAAGGGGGGATACGGGCGGAGAGCAAGCTATGCGTCTACTATGGCAGATTTCTATGTGTGTATTGGTGTGTGTATGTGTGTATGTGCGTCAATCCTATCAGTGCGTCGTTCTCGTCGAAGAGTCGTGCATGCGCGATCAGTGACACTGGTCGAGTCATACGAGTTATTCTGGTTTTTACGTTAATCGCATTATCTCGTCTCTGTTTGTCGTTTCTCTCCGTTCGGTCCTATCACCCTAATCGACCGATCGATCAATGCCCGCGGATCGATCTTCCCTACCCGAGATAATGACCTCATCGAGAGATTAGACCTAGTCTTATCGGCGAAGACTTATATGTGGAGATTGTGTTTGCCTGTCTATATATTATATACATATGTATATGTACATGAATGTGGTACCTAATTAGAGTAAAGACAAAGAGGTGTCTGGAGTCTCTGAAAGAGAGAAAGAGAGAAAGAGAGAGCACCGAGTGTCTCGTTGTCGTGTGAAAATTCGCGGTGGCTCTTTGCTCTTCCTTCAGCGATCGTTTCCCGCGTGCTCTCTTTCGAGCCGACGGTTAACGATCGGGTCTATCGACTTTAGTCGTCTGTTGAGACACTTTTATCGCACGGTCGTCGGTTTTATTGGTTTGATCGGTCGGTGTGTGGTGGAAAAACGCGCGCGGCTCTCTTTACGCGGTAGAACTCAAATGAAAATGCAAACCAAGATAACATCAAAACTGAAACGGCTCGTCTCGTTATGTTATGTCGTCGTTGTAATAATAATGGTAATGGCAGTAATAATAGTAGTTTCGGATTCAATTCTGTAACGTAATAATATAAGTACATAATAATATAATAGTGATAGAGACGTAATAATAAATTGGACGCGCGTATATGTTCAACGTGAATATAAACGTTGAATGGTAGCGCGCGCCCTGTTGAGAAAAAAAAGAAAAAGAAGAAAGAGTCCTATAAAAGTCTTAATGTTAAAGAGAACCGTGTGTGGTTTTGCCACCTGAACCGGAAACTGGATCCGGAGGCGGTTTTGTTGGGTTTCATTTTTGTATTCGTGATAGAGGAATCGAGAGAATATTGATTTTTGTTGAGTGATGAGATAATGAGAGAATGAGAGAGATAGATAGAGAGAAAGAAAGACAGAGAGAAAGAGAGAGAGAGACAGAGAGAGAGAGAGAGAGATAGGGATAGTTACCTGTGTCTGTAGCCGTGTTAGACCACGGATCCATAGAATTTGTCCTGCGCGCGGCTTTTTATCCGAGTCTGGGTCGAAATTCTCGTCTCCTAGATTCATCGCGCCGATATCATCCGGCTGGCCGCGGCCCCATCTGTTTTTGAAAAAAACATGAAACCATTTCTTCATCACTCGGATTTCTTCCTGTTAAAAAACTGAATGGAAAAGAACGGTGTGCTATACTGTTTGTTAATTTTTCTCTCTTTTTTGTTTGTTTCTTTACGGCCGCCGGCTCTCTCTCCTCGGCGCACTGCACACCACCCAACACCGTTTTCCCCTCGCTCCTTTTAGCAGAATCCCTAATCTACTACGATACGCTAACGCTACGCGTGATGATTTGAGAAAAAAATAGCGGTAATGGTGATGAAGCTAGGCAATGGCAAGATAATGGCAGACTGTGTGTGAATGCGCGATGAGAAAATATGCGGTACTCGGCAAAGATTGACAGTGTTAGAGAAAAATGTAAAAAAGATACAGAGTGTTTGGTGCTAGGGTTACGTGATGAGGTTCGAAATAAACTGAAATAATTTTCTTTTAATAAGGATTTCAAGAAGTGGGGTTTTTTTTTTTATACAAAAAATATCGATTCGGTATCCGATAAAAGAAAAATTATTTCAGTTTTTAAAAATTATTTCAAACAAGTTGATTAATGAACAATCTGTATATATGAGCCAATAAATGAGGGGATGGATGGTGATGCGGATATATCGTGAGCAAGAAAGTGTATTCTGCATGATATGATACAGAATGTTAGTGTAAAGCTAGATTAAATGTGCGAAACTTTTTCCCAGTTTTGCTGCTTATTTCAGCGTTCTATATTACAACGGATAATGAGCGCAGCGAAGAAATGCGAGAAGTAAATGGAAAGAAGAATGAGAGAGAAGAAAAGATATGCAAGATTATATATGCACGCGAGATGAGTCAGAGAATCGTTGCAAATGCATCAAAATGCAGCATTTTTACATTAGATGCGTCGATTTTTGCACACTTTCCTTCAGCGTAGTTCGCGATTAGGTTTTGTAATTAGTGCAATCCGCACAAAGTACGCAAAGCACGGTTCACTTTGATAAGCAACCGTCTTTGCTTAGAATATCAGCGTTGGAATGTTGTGTTTCCGTTTCGTTGGTTTTTTACTGCAAGTACCTCATCGATTCGTTTCTCTTTTTTTTCGGGGTATATCGTCAATTTTGCGTCAGATCGTCGATCGCCTTGGTGTTGTAAAACAACGCGAATTTTCTCCTTACCTGTTGAACGACACAAACGCGAAAATCATATAGTACCATCGCGACTACGCGTCGCCCATCGTTGCTATTTATAGGCTCGCACGCAAGCTCGTAGCTCTCGTGTAGAATAATATACTCGGACGAGATAATGATAGTATGTCGAGGGTCGGTCCGTAAAAAACCCCGCACACTCCTCATGGAAATTATTTCCCAGTGGAATTCGTAAACTACAAAATTCAAAGTTTTAATGAAATCCACCGGGAGACAATTTTCCATGAGGAATATGCGGAATCTTTTATTTCGTCAAGCGATCTGTTTTCCAGAATGTCACAAAATTAAAAAAAAAAAAAAAAAAAAAAAAAAATTCCAGAAAAAAATTCAGTTTCCTCGCGCCCCACTTGGACAATACAGGCAAAGAAATTTCCGGAGAGAGTAGATGGATAGGGGGACATGTCTCGCCTAAACTAGGCCGAAAGTACGGAAAGCCAGACGTCGTAACTTTTCCACGTAACGCGTTAGCGCAGCCGTTACGCTATCGGGATAGTCGCCAGTCAGATAAAGTTCCTTCACCCTAGCTGTCAAGCGCTGTCGTAAGTGCGTTTTCTCCGCCTCGCAACGATTTGACCGCGCTGTTTATCGATCGATCGCGGATTTATGCGACTGTCGAAATGCTGTATCGGCCGGTTTCGGTTGCGCGGCGATAGTAACGTTATCATTAACGCCTGCCAATCTGTTCCGCTGATAAAAAAAAAAAAAAAAAAAAAAGAAGAAATGCCAGCATAAAATTATCAAAAATACAAGAGATTACATCAAGTCATCGGATTCAGATATCATTAAAAAAAAAAAAAAACGTGCTGTATAATGTACCAAACACGCGTAATCAGGAACCAATCCGACAACATTCTGCTTGGTTGGCTAACAGTGTTCGTCATCGGTCTTTGTCGTCGTCCTGGCGCGATGCAGGACGCGATGGACGTATGTATGTACGAGTATATACGAGGGAAGTATCGGGATTCTATTCACCTACGAAACGGTATACACACACAGCATATACATACATACATACACACACATACACGCACGCACACGTAGTCAAAGTGAATAGCCGGGGCAGTCCCGTTGTGTTATCAAGCGGTGCACGTACTACACTCGGCGGTAAAAGCTTCGCGCGAGAGCACTCCCTGTAACCTTTGGTTAGCTGACCCTTCTGCTCGTGTAACATTTTATAGTCGCACACTCGACTCGCGTATATACTGAGAGATTATAGTGGCAAAAAAGCGTGTATATTCTCGACTCGAGATTATATATGTTCCCTTGCGTCTCCCTCCCGAGAGAGGGAGATTCTCGTATGCGGCTACGCATCGAGCCGTGATTCTTTTGAGAATTAGGAGCTGAATTAGCTTTGAAGGAAGAAAAAGAGAGTAGGTAGAAGAGAAGAGATGGTGATGTGCAAAAAAGTGCTACAAGCGCGATGATCGAGATTGTAAAATCAGCGAGTTCGAATTTCGACGTGGTAAAACACGCGAGGCATCCTTATATATTTTCTCTCTCGATAATGAAAATATCTTTTCCACTTTTGCACTTTTTACAGTATTGGAAACAGATCTCATCGAAATTTTACACCGGTTACAATTGGATCGGACAGGTGTATGATCAGATGAGCAGAAAGAAAAGGATTATGACAAGATTATGGATGAGAGCGTGTGTCCTCGGATCGTGTACGTGTCATATACGATAGACGAGAAAGTACAGATAGCGATTAAGAACAGTAAGAAAAGGGACAAAAATAGATAGAGATAAAGATAGAAAAGGTTGGGCAAAAAAAAAAAAAATAGAGAAAAAAAAAGAGAGAGAGAAAAAGAAAGATAGAGACCGCATAAATCCAACGAATCGAGTAAAAGTGTATGTGTGTGTGTGTATTAATAAGCATTAATTAATTGCACGAATTGTTTCTCACGCACAAAAAAAAAATCGCGCGCAATTGATTATTAATTAATCGACGGCGTTATATTAAATTGAATTAAGCTCTCGCCTTCGCGCCTTTGTCGTTTTCTAATCCGCCTCGTTGAATATTAGAGATTTTGATTAGTGCAACAGCGCACGTCATCGGTCACTCGACACAAACAAGTACGTAGATTTCGACTGTACGGTTGTAATCATGCAACGTTTAAGGCCAAGTTACGTAAACTACTCCCAAGGTTGCGAGGAGCGAGGGATGGAATACCCGGGATGGGATTTGTCTAAGCGCGCGCGATTATTTTTACTTAGTCACGATTGATTTCACATTACGATTCTTCACAATAATTTTGTTTTAAGTTACAGAGGTAAATATATATACATAATTTTGTTAAATACAAAAGTGTCCCAATTAAATATATAATTTATATTTAATTTTCTTTTGTATAATTACAGACTCGATTCAATTAATATACCTTGACGCAAGGACGTCAAACCGTATTTTGCATAACTTTACAGTTATTTTACAGATTTATATCAAAGATATCAATCATAGATCAAAGCGAAATAATCACGCATGCTTTCAACATTGGGAGACAACATTCTTCGGGAATTCGACATAAAACTGTTACTAGCCGTGTGGTGTATTATATGTATGTATATATACAGATTAGCACGAGTGAGTTCAAGATTCGGCATGCAAAGGCATCTACCACTAATGAGACGAAAACTTAAGATGCTAATTCATATGTGATAATAGATCATTGGATATAAAATCGATTACTTTAAGCGTTATGATTTCAGCACAATGTCGATATATTGATGGTATTATTCACAATGATCATCAAGTGATCGCAAGGCAGTTTACTTATTAAAAAGCCTTTCATCTTTTATACCTTTACACAGTGATCTTTACATATCAAGAAACATCATAATGCAAGAAACAAGAATTTCCATGATCAGCTTACTTTCGAAACAATTATGTGCATATGTTTCATTAATTAGTTAATCAAGATTTTCATTATTGAAGAAAAAACTGACAAATTATAAAAATAAATAACAATAAAAATAATCTCGTCCGTTTAAAGAAGAATCATTTTCTTCTAAAAAAAAAGTATTATGAGCAATTATCTTTTCGTTCGTGTTCTTTCTATTGCAACAAACCTCGGTTCTGTGCTCAAAGAACAAACAAAAAAAAACGTGTTTATGTGTATAAGAGTACATAATTTTAACTTACGAAAGAATTTTGGGAATTCGGCGTGTAGGAATAGTCGTAACTATTTGGCCCCATATTAGCGTACCGATTCCGAAGAACAGGCACCACAACCACTGGTCTAACGAGAGCGCTCTGGTGCTGAATGCCATTTTACCGTATTGTATGATGACCACCTAAAAAAAACAATTAAACGGCTCTATTTTAGAAAAAAAAAAATGATAAAATAATATCGTTTATGTTACAAGAACTACTAACCGTTATTTTGCATTTTGTTAATAAAGATTAGTTATATATAGATTCATTGTATCTTGTTTAAGCTCACTGCAAATTCCGGATGTTTGATCGTAGATGAAGATTTAATATCCAACAACATCATTCTCATGTCGCATATAGGTTGAGTAGATATAGTCTTGTGCGACTTACTTGCGACAAACATGTGCCGATCCAAATTGAATAGAAGATGGGGTTGGTGAATATTCCCTGGAAGACATTGCGCTGACCGTGAATTTTCCTGGCGTTGAATTCGTTGAAAAGAGTCATCATGACGAACGTGTTAAAGATGACGGTGAAGTGTTGCGTGGGTCCGCCTCCCGCCGCTGCCACTCCGCGGCCCGTGTCGATGTCGAGCATCAGGTCACCTGCGGCAGTCAATCGCGGAAGTTTTTAGAACGTTCTGTTTGTTCGACGAGACAGACTAACGAGGAATCGAGAAATCACAAGGAAGGGGGACCAAAGGAGGCAATACTCACCGGCGAAAAGAAGCGTGAAAATTACGCTCAACTGATACAAGGCCTGACCGAGAATATTTTTCATCATTGTCCTGGAAATGAGTGGTTTTGTGCGACCGTACGGTCTACGGAGGAGTAGATCGGGCGTAGGCATTTCGGTAGCCAAGGCGAGGGACGCTAACGTGTCCATGATTAGGTTTACCCACAACATCTGTACTGCCTTGAGCGGCGAGTCCTGCACGGCACAAGCACCGATGAAAGCGACGATCACGGCAACCACGTTGACGGTTAGTTGAAATTGCAGAAACTTGGCGATGCTATCGTAGACGTTTCTGCCCCACATGACCGCCTTCACGATCGATGAGAAGTTATCGTCCGTCAGTATGATGTCGGACGCCTCTTTGGCAACGTCTGTGCCGGCAATGCCCATGGCGAAGCCGACGTCGGCCTTCTTTAAGGCTGGACCGTCGTTCGTGCCATCACCGGTAACCGCCACGACCTCGCGGCTTTCACTCGATTTACTGTCGATGATGCCTTTTACCAGGGTATACTTGTCGGTGGGCGACGACCTGGCCAGTACTCGCAATTTTGGCCACACCTTATCCAGCAGATGCTGTTGCACCTCGCCTTGGCTGTCTCTAATCCTGCGATTAAACTCCTTACCCTCGAGAATGAGGAAGTCTTCGTTCGGCTTGAAAATACCACACTTAAGCGCGATGGATCGCGCGGTGTTTATATTGTCACCCGTCACCATGCGCACGGTGATGCCGGCCTTTTGGCATTTCCTAATTGCGTCCGGTACTTCGGAACGCACTGGATCTTCAATACCGACAATGCACAAGCAGGTGAGATTGTTCACTAGATTATCTTCGTCGTCCCAATTGGGCTCGTTGTCGATGTGAACTTGATTGATCTCCGCCTTGCCAGGAACAAAGTCGCGATAAGCGATGGAGATGGTGCGCAGTCCGTTGCATGCCATAGGTTCGATCACGTTCTTTACCAGACGGTCTTGCATCTCTCTGGTAAACGTCTCCAGATGACCTTCGCGACCATATATAAAGGCACATCTGCAATACAATCGATCAAAATTCATTTTTAATCAATCAAATTGAATTAGAAAAAGAAACTGACATTATTTCTATGTAATATTACAAGTTTAATGGCTTCTCATTATTTAAAAATTTGAAAAAATTTGAAGAAATTTGAAAGTAAAATTTTCACATAGCTAAAATTGTTGAACAATGTTCTGCTCTAAAATCTTTCGGAGACTTTCAAAAATTCCGTTATAAAAGCTTTAAATAGGAAGGGAGGGGGGAGAGGGAGAGGGAGAGGGAGAATGTGGAATTGCAAGATTCACTAAACTTTAGTATCATATTTGAATAAAAGAATGAGAAAACTGTACGTACTTCTTCATGATGATCTCGGAAGCGCCCTTGGTGAAGAGCCTATATCCACCGCCTTTCCTGGGAATAACGGTAGACATGCTCTTTCTTACGCTATTAAACGTATACACCCGCGTAAAGGTTTCCTCAGGAAAATCGTCCCGCACGGTTTGATATTTCTTGCCCAGGGCTAATACGAATCCAAGTAAGGCACATTCGGTTTTGTTGCCGACCTGCAGCGACAATTCGCTAGGGTCTTGCGACTCCATTATTCGCGACGTGTACGCCGAATTGATGGAGATGGCCTGCATGATCAATTCGCCGACGTGGCTCGGTATATCCGAGAAATTCGGCGTCGTCTTGCACATCTTCTCGCATATGTACGACTGTACCACGGTCATGCGGTTCGTAGTCAAGGTGCCGGTCTTGTCCGAACAAATGGCGGTGGCGTTACCCATAGTCTCGCAGGCGTCCAAGTGACGTACCAGATTGTTGTCCTTCATCATTTTCTGTACAGAGAGAAAAACGAGAGGCGATTTCAGAATAAAATGGAAAGGGGGAAAAAAATGACAAAATCTCTGTAGAATCTTACCTTGACGGAATAAGCGAGCGACAAAGTGACGGCTAGGGGAAGACCCTCGGGTACGGCGACTACGAGCACCGTGACACCGATGATCAGATGCCGCACCAGATCATTGGCGTACGTATTTCGCCACGGCCTGCCCTCGATGACAAAAGTCGTCACGCAGAACTGTATGATTAAAATGACGACGGTGAGCACCGCGATGGTCGAGCCGGCGTAACCGATCTGTATGGCGAGTTTAGTTAGCTTGGCTTGCAGAACACTCTTCTCCTTCTTCCCGCTGCTCTCCCCGGTGCTTGCGGGTGCGGCCGCGTGATGATTCTCGCCACCCTCGTGCTTACCGCCGCCTCCGCCTCCGGTCACGTGACTGTTCCCGGTAATCTCTACCGTTTCCTCTCCTTGATTTACCACGTCAAGATTAGACTGCATCCCTGGTCGTTATATACACCAATCGAGGCTCAATCGGCCCGAGCGATCGCATCTTGACTCGCATCTCAACCAAGATCTTGATCATGCCAAGGGGTTGCTGATCGATCGCAACGCCGACTGAATCTCGATCGTTACACTTAGAACGAGTATATATAAATTATCTCAAAAGCGTTCTAATAAAATACTGGATGCTACTCGAGTTGGTAGATAGCCAAAAGTTTTCATGAGAGATGATTCAGATTAATGTGGAAGACACAACAGTTATATGTTAGAGAAACACAGATTAAAACCATGGGTGTTTATATCATTACTAGAATGCAGAAAACAAGAAGCTATATGCAAGAACGAGGTAGCCGCTGATGCGTGTCAAATGCATATATAAACCACTGCTAATAGAACACGCAAAGATCAATAGGGAATACAAAAGCGTGGATAATGTAGTTTTGTTTCTTCTCTTACGCTCTCGGCATAAGATGTAGCGTTTGATATATCAAGAGAATGCAATCTTTAAACAAATCGTTTAACGTCCAATCTCATGCTCCATGTCTCGATTTTAAGTTAATGTCATTTCTTTGCTACATCCAAGTCCGAGAGAATACCCTTAAACCATATTCGACGAAAAAAAAAGAGAAATCAAACTTTATAATCGAATGTCATTAGAGAGAGAAAGAGAAAAAGAGAGAGAGAGAGAGAGAGAGAGAGAGAAAGAGAAAAAGAGAGAGAGAGAGAGAGAGCGCGCGATAAAAAAGATATTCCTTTGAAAATACGCAACATTAATGTAAAGTTCATAGATATTAATTGAAGTAATAATACAGGAAAAAGAAAATTCCCGAAGAAAATGCAGAAGAAATGAAAAAGTGAGGTGAAGTGAGAGATAAAGATTGTATAAAAAACTGAATGCTGTCTTGAGGACTCAAAATAATTAATTAATTTCTTGGCCTCAGTGGCCACGAATCTATGTGTGTATTATACACGTATAATTATACATATTTGTATATCGAAATAATAAAAATAATAAGAAAATATATATATAGATATATATATTATTTAGAATTATTCACCTGGTAATGACTTCTTCTTCCGCTGCTTTTTAGCCTCTAGATAAAAAAATACATGCAAAATGAAATTGATTAGCAATCTATTTGAAAAATATATATGCCAATGGTATAATAGTTGCGCCAATAAAAGAATTTACATTCGTGATTATAATTTTTTTTTCCATTTTTCATTAATTTTCGCAAGAGAGTACTTAACACTAACAAATGAAATAGGTAGATAGGTAGGTACAGCCCAGAAGGTCAAACATAAAGAAGCAACTATTGCTTCTATGATATACGAACAAAATTTCACTAGTGTAACTGTAAGAGTGCATGAAAGTACATTCCTGTGAATAATTTGTCAATAAAATGCGAGTTCACCTTCTAGGTTGTGCAATAACGAAAGATTTACAGAGGGGTATGGATCAAAGAGAGGAATTGTGAAATTTTGATATTCATTTTTCCATAAAATGTGTAAAATGTCCCAAAAATGACGTACTTTTCCTGAACTATTAAAAATACACTGTTTAAATTAAAATTAAATAAAGAAACTTTATTTAATATTGAATAAATCAAAGAGAGAGAAAGAGAGTTCAAAATTTCTGGTGGTGTATGTAATTTGAAATACAAGTATAAATGACCATTATTTTTTCCTTCTTTATAAAAATTTAATCGCATAAATAAAATTTTAGAGTTTAATATTATTAAAATATATTAAATTTAATATTCGCAAGTTAAAAGCTTCTCGGTTTTTGATTCAAAAAGCACATGACGTTTAAGACACTTTCCATAAAAATTATTTTAAAAGATATATCTCATAATAATAATTTCATCAAACTTGAAATTTTCAAGTATAAAATTTCATATACACATATCAGACAAAGATAAAAAAAACATTATAATAGCAAAAACATTTATAGCTAGAGGGGGACAAAAACAAATGATTTACAAACGCAAGAGATATAAAATAATAGCACCTTGAAAAAATTATACCGATAAAGACATTATCCTTGATAAACTATGTAAATGAATTTTTAATAAGGATACTTCGCGAATATATGATATCAGACTATAAAACTTGCAAATATTACTTTTATATTTGGTACAATGTCTATAATATATCCATAGTGTAAACAAATGAGCGGGAAAAAATTCTTTATTAATGGAGAGGAATCACCATAAAATAATACATACTGCTGTATTATGGCAGTTTTATGTAGAATATTTTTTAAAAATATACACATGAAAAGTGTCTAGAAACATTGACAAATTGAAACACAAATCTTCTACAATCAATTAGTTAATAAGTTAATAAAAGTTTAAAATCCACTGTTGGCAAATGCAATGTCGAGAGTACAAAGTACAGGGAACGAAAAAAATGGCTGTTGTAAAATTCATAATAAAAAAAATGATCACACCAATTCACGTCAAAACCATGCGTCCACTGCGATTCGTCTACACTCATTTTGAAACATTTTATAAATGTCCATGCGGGAATATGGTAGAATATACCAACAACTTCTATTACGAGGCACAAATTGCTATAAAATCTATTTGCTATTAAACATATCGTAACGCATTCATAAACCGGATCTTCAATAAAATTTCAAAGTAGAGTTTACTAAATGATTCAGAAGTTGCTAGTAGAGATAGGTATACTAAATCATCAGAGTGAGAAAAAAGAGAATATGTAGGATATCAATCTCTAAAGTAATCTGATAAAACCTAACGGAACTTTGAGAGAAATATGTATTGTATATATATATATATATATAAATTACATATTACTCTAAGAATTTAGTAACCTCTGTATAAATGTGCAGTCATTCAAAATGATGGATCAATCGATCGGCAATAACGATTATACGTACCTTTCTTCATTTTCTTGATTTCTTGCTCCTGTTGATCAACAGCAGCACCCAATAAGGTAAAGATAATACCTGCCTGGGAATTAACACCTACTGCAGAAACTAACATTTTTCCAGAACCCTCCATCACGTGTGTACCTTTTTAACAATACAGTACATTCAAGATAGTTTTCTATCGCATAAAAATCTTTTAAATACTTTGTGACTTTCTTTACATCGGAAGAATAATCCAGCATAATGACAACTATTAAAATTCAAGCAAGACTCTCTCACCTGAAAGTACCATAGGATCAAATGATTCCCCTTTCTTTACATGATCTGACTCTCCAGTCAGACTGGATTCATCTACTTTGAGATCGTTGCTTTGTATAAGAATACCGTCTGCAGGCAACAGGTCTCCATATTTTATCTATATTATCAAACAGCTAATTAAATATAAATTTTACATTTTTTACTACATTAATATTTAATTATGCCAACAAAACTAAAATATCCCATGTTAATAGATTATATATATATATTTAAGTATTGTTTGAAAAAATTTATATTCTAACAGCATTCAAAACTTTATTTAACTTATTTATTATTGTTACATATATACCTGACAAATGTCACCGACAACAATATCAGACACAGAAATTTGTTTCACTTCTCCTTGCCGTATAACTGAGAACTTGTGCTCTCCCTCTATCCGACTTTGAAGACCTCTAAACTGCCTCTCCTTGGAGTAGTCATTAAACGCTGTCACTAAGACCACCACAATTACAGAAATCAATATAGCGAGTCCTTCAATCCAACCATATTTCGCTTCGTCCTCATCTACTAAAGCTGAAAATAAATAAAAGAATACATTATCCGAAACCTTTCGAGGAACCTTTCTTTAAAATTGAAATTGACAAAATTTATCTTTATATGCTGATAAAAGATTTTAATACACATAAATATTCGACATGTCTCCTTACTAACAACAAGTGGAAACTCAAAAATAAAATACACAATATCACATCATAAATACTTACGTTTTTCATCATCAGCTGGATGATAAAAGCTAAGACCTAATGAAACCAATGCTGCTACTTCTAAGATGATTAACGTGACATCTTGCAATGCTTCCCATACTAACTGTAAAAATGTTTTTGGTGGTTTTGGAGGTATCATATTGGAACCAAATGTATCTCGCCTATGTTGTATGTCTGCTACTGATCCACTAAGACCTATGCAGATAATAAGAATCATGATATGTGTAAATATCCGTTGTATCACATTCTTTTTATATAGAAATTGTTCTTTATGCGTAACTCTTATCCTTTTTCATTTCGTAATACAAAATTTGGATACGTTAGGAGAAAAATTGTACCTTCATTGGGTGAAGTATACAGCTTTTTACAAATCTCCTGCACACCACCGTAACCATTGATTTTGCTGACACCTTCGCGCCCCCGCAGCTCCATGAGCTCGCGGAGTTGCTTAAGCGTGACACCATATTGGGCCGGCCGGCCGTCTATCGTCGCCATGATATCTCTGTTGCCTCTGTTGGCCGAAGCCAACTACTGTTACGCTTCCACAAGGCTACCACAGCTCGTATTATTCTCTGGCGTCGCTGCTCCACTGGCCTCCAAACGAATGGAGGACCAACGGCTGAAATACAAAAGAGAGAGATTGTTTAGCGGCAAAGTTTTCAAACTATTGTAAGTTTTAAATATAAATATATAATCATTTCAAGTTACATTTATACAATTAATCGCGTCTCAATTTCTATTTATTGACTCAAATTGTCACCATACTGTTGTCCAATGGAAATTATGCTACTGCAAAACATATCAAGAGATTTCAGGGAAATAATTAAATCATTGGGACTACCGTGCTAAGGTGTGTAGCGCGCATTCCGTCGAACGACAGTCGTGCGTATACACGAGAGACGGCTCTCCTCGATCGGCGGGGCTCCGAAATCGAAAGGCGGACGAGATTGATATCGGCGCGAGCGGCGCGTGTCACGATACGAAACGAAATATCCGACGATGACGATGACAAGGTAGGGCACGCGGCCTCTCGTCCTCGTCGCTTATGCAACGCGATTATTGATTCCGGGGATGTGCAGCGACGTCGAAAGGAGCAACATCGCTCCGCCGTGATGGTTTCTATCACGCACACATACACACGCGCACATACACATACAACATACCATGTCGACCCTACCGCGGCGCTTCGCGTTAAATGTCAAACTCCTTTAACCCGGCGCCCGTGCAAACGACTCTCCGGTGTCATGGAGTGTATCCCCGGCGATCGAAGCGAGATCACGGCGCGTCGAATCCGTGATTGGCTGACCTCGACGTAGTTCACTCGATCCCGTTCTCCGCCAAATGGTAAAAGTATGCGCGAGCTGGAGCGCCGCCCGCAGATTGAGGTTATGGGCGCCGAGCAGCGGGCGCGGGCGGCTTCGGCCGCTCGGCTTCTGACAGCGGCGTCAACATTTGCGCGGGACTCGTGGAAACGGGGGGGGGGGGGGGGGGGGGGGGGGGGGGGGGGGGGGGGGGGGGGGGGGGGGGGGG